ATTCATTTACATACCATCTACAGCTGTGGTCTCCCTGCCCCCATATATGGTGTGTGTGTGTGTGTGTGTGTCTGTCTGTCTCCCTTTCCAGTAAAACTCCACGGACCTCTGGTTTCCAGCACAGCTCCTGGAGTCAGGTTGTCTGGGTTTTACATTTAGTTTTGCCACTAATCACCTTTGTGAGTGATTTCTTAACATCTTCTAAGCTACAATTTTCACATTTGTAAGGTGGGAATGATAAGAGTTATTTTTATTTCCTTAGGTGGTATGAGGAGTGAATAAGTCAGGGCAAAGTTGGTCCATACACATTGGTTATTATTGTTACCCTATAGCTGGCCACTGAAGAATGAAATTGTTCTGGTATTAAATAAAAACTCTAGATTGTTTTCTTAACTGACCACCAAGTGATAGGAAGAAAAATCTGCTGAATATGATAGGTATCTAAACTAGTTATCTAGTCTTTGTGTCACTGTGACCAAAGAACTCTGAATGAAACTTCACTCTTGTCACAAATAAAGGTCAAGTTAGGCAAATACCTTCCTGTTCTTGCTGGTAGCCCTGAAACCTCAGCAAGCAAGTGATTTTCTTTTGGTTATTTTGTTTCGAAGAAGGCTGAATACAGTTTTCAGTATTTTTCATGTTCTCCTACGGTCATTGTCTATGTGAATTATGATTTTCTATAATTATATTGTGGCATATACAGTTTAATTATTTTCACTTAAGCTTAAGCCATAATTTTTCCTTATTGCTTCTCAGTTTTTATTCTTATCTCTTGTTTCAAACTGTTTGATGAAGTATTTTAAATGTATATAGGAATCTTTCAAGATCTAAGATCTAGCAGAGTAGCTGAATGTGGTCCTACAACTTGGGAGGCTGAGGCAAAAGGAATACCTCAGTTTAAAGACAGCAAGTTAGTGAAACCCTGAACAACTTATAGAGACCCTGTCTCCAAAAGAGCTGGGGATGTGGCTCAGTGGTTAAGCACCTCTGGGTTCAATTCTTCTTGCCAAAAAAAAAAATCTAAAATCTACATATAATAGGGTTTTTAAAAAATTTAAATAATCAAGTAGTTTTGATTCTATGTCACCTGACTATGGATCTGATTTTCAACAAATTAATAACTTCTTTTTGTTCATGTCATTAACCTCTCTCCATGGCAATCTCAGCTAATTTAGACATCTGTAACAACGAGCATTCTAGAAACAAAACTAAAAGTGTTTTTGCTGAGTTTGTGAAAAGGGTAAAAGTGCTGACCAAGCATAAATGTTCCCCTGATCGGTGAGCAATCGCATTAGAACACTGACCAACATCTCCTCATCCATCAGAGAAACTGGACCCCCAAAGTCACATGGCAGAACCAAGGACAGACCCAAAGGCACTCTCCACCCACATCATTTGGGGGTATAGAGTGGAGAGTAATGCAAGGATATCTAGGGTATATGAGAAAGTGTTTCTGGGGCTGGAAAGACCCGTCCCTCTGGCCCACCCAGCACACGGGTCCCAAATCCCAGTGCATCGCCTGCTCCTGGGTCACAGAGAAACCATGCTGCTCCAAAGCATTTGCTCTCAGAAGCCTGCAGAGCCGCTCAGAAGCAATTACAATTTACTTATCTTTGTTATTACTTTTTTGTAGTTCCAGTGACCATTCCCTCATATATAGGTTCAGAGAATGATGCTCCTTTATCTGGGGTGGAGGTTGGAGACACTTTTTAACAGAACCCTTAGATAGGTTCTCACTGAGAAGCCGCCAATCAGCCAGACTTGGCAAAACCCAGCCTGGGTTCAGTGGAGGGAAGCGAAGCTCTGGCCAGAGGCCTTTACACCCCTGCTACTTGTTCTCTTAGGAATTGTCAGGGATAATCACATATTCAGGTCAAACCAGCCTCCAAATGCATGTATCCTCATTTCTTTCTCCAAGGCCCCTTCGCACAGAGCGAGCCAGTACTCATGTGTGTACAGTGTGTTTGTAGTTGTGTGGGCTTTGGAATGTGAGGGTCCTGGTTGTAGATTAAGCTTATTGCTTCTTCTGAAAAGATATCAGAGGAAAAAGAAAAGGATACTTCTGGGAAGCCTGCTGTCATTCCACCTACCCATCTGGCTGACTCTCTAATTTTAAGCCTCATTTTTATAAAAAGACTTTGAATAGCTCTGCTTTTATGATTTAAATGGACTTTCAAACTGGGATTTAACCATCTGATATAACAAAGTGGGTGGACTTGGTCTTCAGAGGGAAAAGAATAAACATACTGAAAGCTGTAATTAAAATTTTCCGCTTTCCTCAAGTCTCTTAAGGCAATTATTGTCAGACTTGAAATCTCCAGTGCCCAAATTCAAACCTCTAGTTTGGAAAAAAAAAAAAAGCTACAGTGTGGGGTGAGGCAGTTGATATTGTTTTGGTAGAAATCAAGTTCCACTGGCTAAATGTATTATTAACATTGATGTGTATTAATTTAAAAAATATGTTCATGGCTAGAGGCCACAGCAGGTGGGTCCTATGGTCCAGGGCAAAGGGATTCAGCCCCTAATGGTCCACGTGGAGCAGTATCTGGGGAAGGTGATATAAAGGGTGAAAACAAGATAGAGATCTCAGAAGGGGAAATAGAAAAAATAAAAAGGGTAGCTCTATTCTCTATTTTTTCAAACATTGAACCACAGCACCTTCCTTCACGGATCCTATCTCTCACACTCAGGGGGACACCACCCAGGTTCTGTGGGCCTCAAGTGTATCCAGTGAGAGGCTGGGATCTGAAAAACATACAAGCACGACTCTTTTGGTCACATGTTCCAGGAACATGAGCTGATGGAGCACTCTGAGGGGGCCAGCTCCCCCCGGAAGCCCCGGTCTGCTCACACTGCCCTCAGTGTACATCATCCTGACCACTGACGTGGCCTTCCAGCTATGGCCCTTTACACTCCACAGCAGGCAAGTTAAATCATGTCCCCAGTTGGCTCAAGACCCTAGGAAAGTCTCTCGTGGTACTTGTGGGACATAGCAACACATGAAGTCCTCCTTCATCCGATTACCTGCCTCTTGAACCAAGTCTCCCCTGGCCTCCTAGTTCTCACTACCCAGGATTCCTTGCTGGCTCTGGACCCTGTCAAACATACTCAATGGCCCTTGCATTTTGCTGGTCTTGCTGTCCAGAACCCTGGCCCCCATCCTCACTTCCTCCAGGCCTGTCCCTGGGCTCATCAGAGACACCTTGCCCAGGCAGCCTCTCTACACAAACAGCACTATCATACGCACTGTCCTTGTGCTCTGGGCTTCTCTCTACAGGCTTGCCTTATTTGGTGTGTGTCTATTTGTTCTTGTCTTACTGGTTCCTTCTCCCGGGTAAGCTTGTGAAGACAGAGATTCTACTTTACCCATTACAGGGCTTCCATTCTTGTAACAATGCCCGACACCCAGCAGGAACTTGGCTAATATTTGTGGGAAGAAGAAAGAAGAAATTACCTAACCTGAGGAATTCAGTTCATCATGTCATTGATGGACTCAGAGAAATTATTTTGGGGAAGATGGGGCATTCCTTCTGGTTCTCAAGTCTAAAGTGACAGAAGCATTTCTTAAGTTAATCATTAGATGTTGTGAACAGATAATGCATTTATTTGGTTGATAGAAAAATAACTCCTACAGCTTACTTTCCAAGGAGGAAAAATGAGATTTTTATTTTTTAAATTTCAGGCCTGGCGACAAACACACACACACACACACACACACACGCACATTAAAAAAAATCACCAAAGTGCACTAATTCTCCGCTCATGTGTAAATATCCTTTACTACATGTTTTTCTTCCTTCCATGCTCCAAATAGGCAAGAAAATCTCTACAGACTCCAAGGACAATATAATTTCTTGCAAGAGGTATTTTCTCAGACAGTGAAATTATTGGCTATTCACTCTGTTCCCAACTTTCCTTCTAAGTGCGAGGCAGCAAAGGAACAGCCAGGACAACTACCCCATCTTCTCATTCTCCAGGTCTCTCCAGGGGGCAGTGGAAGGGAGCCAGAGAGGGCGCCACCTGCAGCCTAAGGCGGTTCCAATGCGCAGTCCTTGCTTTTGGATAGTCACCGATAAAATAGGAGTGAAGGAAGACGCACTGGGCTGTGCCCGGGCCTCTTTTCCTCAGGGGTGCTCTCGGGGCCGCTAGCCAGTTGGAAAAGGGAGTGCTGGGCGGACTTTTCTCCCGAGCGTGAAAATCTGCATTCCTTCAGCTGGGGAGGAGTCCCGGTGTTTTCGAATACTGGATTTCCAAATTAGGGCTTTTTACATAATTTCCCCACAGAGGATCCCCTAGGAAACGACTTGATACTTCTAAAGCGCCCTTCTCCATTGCACCAGTTCCCTATTTACCAGTAGCCAAAAGTCCTGCTTTCAAAGCTGCACCCGGTGGCTCCAGAACGCGTCTGCGCTGGAGCCGGGCTTCCGGCTCTTGTGGTGTCTGTTGAAGTTCTGGGGTGAGCTCCGGAGCGCACTGCTCATTCATTCAACAAATATTTACTGAGCGCCGCAGAGTGCAGGCGCTGACGGGGCACCGGAGGCGAGAAGAAACTCACTAGCTCCTTCTCCTTCCGCGACTCCCGCGCGCAGGGGAGCGCAGCCCGCACCCCGCGCCCGCTGCCCGGGTGTGCCCTGCGCCTCCAGTCCCCGGACGCCGGCGGCTGGGAAGCCGCCCCGCGGGATCCAGCCTCCAGGGCTTCCTCCGGGTGGGGAGGCGGGGAAAAGGGCAGACCACTAAAAGGAAAGAGCTAGACCCCAGTCCGCCGTGGGAAGCGGCTTCGGCGAGCGCGCTAGGCGGAGCCGCAGCTAGTCGGCCTCCCGGGCGAGGGCGGGAGAGGCGGCGCCGGCGGCTCCGGGCTCGGAGGCGGCCCCGGCGGGCGGAGGGCGCGGCCGGCGGGAGGGGCCGGGGCGGCGCTGGGAGGGGCGCGCACGGCGGCGCGGCCGCCAGCCCTGCAGGTGACCGCGGGTGGCGCGGTGCGGGCGCGAGCCGGGGCGGCGCTGCGGGGAGACAGCCGGCGCGGAGTCGGGGCGAAGTTTGCCGAACATGGCGGAAGAGCCCGGGGCGCGCAGGAACGCGCGGCGGCGGCCGGCGCTGGAGGAGCTGTAGCCGCCGCCGCCGCCGTCGCCAGGCGAGGTCGCCGCCATGGCCCGCTGGATCCCGACCAAGAGGCAGAAGTACGGGGTTGGTGAGTGCGTGCCCCACCCCGCCGCCGCCAAGTTCGCCCGGAGCGGCGGGACCAAGCTCGCGCAAAGTTGGGCCGCCTGGCGCCGGCGCGGGCGGACCGGGACCCTGCTCCCGCTGCCCTGGCTCCGGCCGCTGCAGCCTGGGGGTGGGAGGGGATCGCAGTGGGGGAACTCGCTCCGGGTTTGGGGAACCCGAGTGGCAAAAAATGCAGTTAGGCTTCGGGACGGTGGTCCCCAAGCTGAAGCACGTTGCGGGTAGGAACGTCCAGGCGAGGCAGCCGCGGGTGGCCCACTGGGGCCCGCAGCTCTGCCGCTCCCGCGCTGCGTCCAGTCCTGAGTCGCTCCTGCAGTAGGTAGCCCGCCCAGAGCGACGCTGGGGACGGGTGCTCGCGGTGCCAGAGCCTTCCGGCTCCCTCCTGCACTTTCCTTCTCGAAGTGAGGAGTTGGGGTGGGAAGCCGCCCCAGGACTCTAGTCCTGATATCAGTTGTAGGCGAAATGGGAAGCTGAAAGGTATGGAGGTGACGGAGGGACAGGAAGTGTGGCATGGGAAGGGGTGGCCGGGGCTGGGGCTGCGATCGCTGGTCCCTCGCGAGCTTGGGGAGAGAGGTGTGAGATGCACTTCCGAACCCCGAGATTCCCCACAGGGTATCCTGAGCACTTTGCATCGGGTCTGCGGGACCGGGCTTGTGCTGGCGCGTGGCTTTAGTGACCGCGGTGTGGGACAGCCGCCGGTCGCCCGGGGATCCCCTGTGATGTTGGCGTGGATCCGAAACAGTGGATGGCTTGACCCAGGTGGAAAACCGCGATGCTTTCACTTTTCATCCAGGAGCGAGGTGGTTGAGGTCTGGTGGGAGGCTACTACCATCAGCCGGGCGATTAGCAGGGCAGTTGGACCTGGAAGGGAGCCTCTCCTAGAAACTGTTGTGTGTGCTGAGAATTTATCACTTCCTCCTGTTCATTCATTCGTCCTGTTGGGAATTTAATCTTACGCCACTCTCTTCCGTGCCCCTCTTTTCCCTCACCTCCTGGTTATGGGGGAGCAGTCCCCAAGGTTTTATCCTGTGCTTTGACAGCCAATTCAATTTCACAGACACTTAACATCTCTAGATGTCTCCGTGGCCATGAGTCAGGTTTTTTTTTTTTTTTAATCTTCTCATATTTACTATATCCTTAGATTGATCCAGAGTGAGCCTGAGTGTGTATTATTATCCCTCTTTTTCAAAAAGTGGTTTTTTTTTTTTTTTTATTTTTTTTTGCCTTTAAGTTACTTTTGGAATCTTTGCGCTCTCTCATGGCTACAGCTCAGAAGGGAGTAGGGATATTTCTTTTGCCCCAAATCACCAGGTCATGGTTCAGTCCTGAGGCTTCATAGGAGACTGGGACTCCTCACCAGGTACAGAAGTAGCCTGTAATTATGGAAGTGAAATGCTCAAAAATAGCTGGAGGATTGGATGTGAGTAACATGCCCCGGGCCCTGGGTTCCATCTCCAGCATCAAGGGGTGGGGCCAGAAAAAAATGAAATCAATTAATTTGAGTATTGTGGAGTACTAATTGCTGAATGAAATCATATTCAGCAGTGCCTAATTGCTGATTACTAATTACACAAATGTTATCAATTCTAATTTTGCTTAACTAGGTTAAAAGCTGTTTCCAAAAATATTATGACTTAATGCAAACATGTTCCAAAAATGTGGTTTTTATTGCCATAGTCACAGGAGCAAGTATGATGTTTTCTTTTTAATTCCTTAATCCTCCCCACCCCCCATGTTCTGGAGTCAGTTTGGTGTTACTTATCATCAGTCAAGAAAAATATTTGGATTGCACTGGGTACTAGCGTAAGCAGATTGCCCCAGGAGGTAATTTGGGACATTTACTTCACTAGACATAATAGATTCTGGCTGGTGTGAATTTGAGAAAAGAACCCACAGTTAGAACTCATTAACTGAAGTGTTGACGCCATTGTTTGAAGTTGCATTGTTGTTGGATTCCCGGCTGCTGGGAAGGCTTCCGTGGCCTACAGGATGGTTCCCAGAGTCGGGGTTCCACCTCTTCACATTATCTGACTGCTGCTTTCATTACCCCCTGGTGCAGCAGTATGCCATGAGAGTCCCTCCTTTGGACTTTGCTCCCATCATGCTTGTCCCCTGCCGAGAGTTCTCTCCTGATTCTGCATCCCACAGTCTGCTCTCACTGCCTCCTTCAAATTTGCTTTTTGCCAGATCTTCCCAAACCTCCGTCACAGTCCCTGTATTGTGCTATAACTTAGTGTGCTGCTTAGCCTCTCAGGCTCATCAGTGATGCCGAAGGTTGTGGTCTTGTATCCTTGTCACCCAGGAGGTGTGCCAGGTGTGTGTGTAGCCTCCTCCTTAATCACGGTGTCTCTTACCGGCTGAGTTCTGAACATATGAAATGGAAAATTCCAGAGAGCACATTCACTTAAATTTTATGACCGCATACTGTTGTAATTACTCTGTTTTATTGTAAGTTATTGTTGATCTCTTACTGTGCCTAACTTATAAATTAAACTTTATCATAGGTATGTATCCTAGGGAAGAACAGTACACAAAGTGTTCAGGACCAGTGTCACATCTGCTGGTGGGGGTATGGTTCATGGGTGAAGGAAATCATAGGCTGGGCCTCTTGAGACCTGGCCATGACTGAGAGCTAGCCCCTGCTGTAGCTGGGCATGGCAGAGGAGTCTGCAGGGCTGTGCATGAGGGCAGAGCTTTGGTCTGCATTCGGATTATGTCCAATGAAGCTAATGGTCTTCACTATCTAGTTTTCTTTTGGTGCTTGCTTGGCTTTTCCTGACATGGCCTAGACTTTTCTATAGGGACAGTAGTGCAGTGGGTCTGGGAGTTCTTCTTAGTCCTTGAATGTAATACATTTGACTCAAACTCTAGTATTTAGTGGGTCTAAGTGGCCCATGTGTGTTTGCTGTGTTATCAAGTAAGAGTATCTTAGACTTGATTCTTGGAACTTAGAGTACTCTGGTACTCCAGTGTGAGGTGCTTAGTGCTAAGTGCTTAGAACAAGTGTACTTTCCTGGGGCCAGGTGACATTTTCTCCTCCTCCTTGCTTCCTTTTTATTTCCTTTTTCTTTTACCTTCCTCTCCCGCTCTCTTGCTCTCTTTCACATATATAAAGGTATAAAATTCTATATGAATTTTAAGCAGATATTAGTGACAAATATGTAAATTGGTTTTTGAATTATTAAAGCATATTTGAAGTCCGCTTCCAGACAAACCATTATGTCAAGAACAGCCACGGGTTATGTTGGTTATGGATTTTTTGCAAAGTAGTACACTATTTTATTTTAATTTTTATTAGTTGTTGATGGATCTTTATTTTATTTACTTATTTATTTATATACGGTGCTGTGAATTGAAGTCAGTAAAACCTCACACATATTAGGCAAGTGCTCTACCACTGAGCCACAACCCCAGCCCCAAAAGTAATACATTATTGCATGTTGGGATTTCCAGTATCTCTTTCTATAGTGTGAGAAAAGGTAAATTGGGGAAATATTTGCTTTCAGTGTTAGCCCTTTGATGGTTTAGCGGTGCTTGCCCCAATTAGTCCAAAAGCATATTTTCGTGTAGAGTAGATCCTCACATACTGATTGAAGATTAAGCCCAATTCTTGGGGGTCTTTGTTAATGCATCCAGATGTGCTGATGCTGCTCATCCGATTCTTCCTCTCTGTGGACATCATATTTCTCATGCACTAGCTGGGGTGTGACAGTGACCTGGGAGGAGGGTTCTTAGAGTGACTCATCCAGTTTCCTTTGAAGGAGAGGAACTTGGTACCAGAAGAGGTACAGTGAATTGCTTCACACAGGGAGTGCTTGCCTTTTGGGGAACATGCACCACTTTGGCAAAGCAGTGAAACCAGTAGGCCCTTAGAATGATATTTCTAAATGCATCAAGTGAAGTACAAATGATTCAAAGAGAGACCCATTGTATTGAAATAAAGTTGTCAAGTTCCTTTTCAAATTTTTAGATATTATGTGTGCTTTTTATTATTAATGCATTAAATAGTGAGATCCAGATAATAGCTACTATAATTTTGAATCAGTGATGAGCTCATATGATTCCAAGATATCTGCAGTCACCGTGATATTATATGAAAGTACCGGTGGTTTCTGTTGGTGGCAGTGTCACAGGCACTCCTAGATCAACTGTGGCTTCCTGCTTGCGGTCAGAAGTGAGGTAAATGCTGAGTGTCAGAAAGCAGGAGTGTAACTTTCATTCCCAGTCAAATCCTTGGACCCTCTGAATTTGAGCTCAGATGATGTTAGTCACCTTTTCGTTGCTGGGACTGGAATACCTGACTAGAACTACTTAGAGGAGAAAAATTTGTTTTGGTTGCACAGGGTCAGAGTTTCAGTCTGTGGCGGGCTAGCTCCATGGCTCTTAGCCCACGCTGAGACAGAATGTCATGGCGGAAGGCGTGGCAGAGGAGGCTCCTGAGCTCATGGCATTTGGGGTGGGGGGAGAGAAGAAAGGAGAGGGGGAGGGAGGAGCCCAGGGGCAAAATGTATAATCCCCAAGGCACACCCCATGCGTCTACAGTTACCTCTACAGTTACCTCGCAGTGATCCATTCAAACTACTAACCCATCAAATGGATCAATCCACAGGTGAAGTTGCAACTCTCAATCATTTAACAACTTTGCCTTGTGCAGTAACACTGGAGCTTTTGGGGGCATACCTCCCATCCAACCCAGATTAGGAATCTGTGGCTGATGATCACAAGGCTAATTAGTTACAGAATCACGTGAGCAGCAGTGACAGTAGTGACACTTGTCCATTACCTCTCTACCTGTGACACGGTGCTAGACATTACATAGTTGTATTCACCTAGGAAGTCCCTGCCCTCATATGCTCATGTTCTGAGAACACTGAGGCTAAGGATAAAGGACGGGAAAATTAATATTCACTAAGAACTTACTTTGTGAGGTACTGATCCAAACTTTTCTGAACAAGTTCTTTTTGAATC